TCAGCAACAGTAGGATCAGCAGCAGAAGAAGTAAACGCTTTATTGTGTTTGTTGATTTCTGCCATTCATTAGTTGACACAGCTGGTGGCAGAAACAAACTACTAATCCCATAAATACTGTGATTGCTCGAACACTAAAGACCCCAAAACAATCACTTTTAATTAAGTCTGGTCAGAACAGTAAAAAACTATAATCAATCAGTTTTGAAGAGTCTGCTTCAAGCATCAGTGTCTACGTTCACTGGGGCATTCTGTTTAATATCCTGATGGAAGTAACATTGTCACGTATGAAAGTGCCGAATCTTTAAAGAGAATCTAGCTTTTGAAATGAAAATAAATAATACAAGTAATGCCCCCGCCGCTGTCAGCCTGATTTAGTAACAGGTGGCACTGTAAGCCTAACCAGACTATTAGAAGATTGTCTGCATGTTTAAAGTATTCCCAGGTCGGCACAGACTGACAAATAACAACAACAATTTTATTACTGTTAACTAATTAAAATTTGTTAAATAACAGCTCATAATGTGCATTTACGTTCGACAGATGAAAGTTTCTCAGTGTTATTTAACGGAGATAGATAATAAATAATTTTAAAAATAATTTAAATGAAGTAAATAGCAATTCCATTGTCTTTTATAATAAAAAGATGAAAATTCCGCACTTTTCGTTGCATGAATTACTGAGTTTAGTGCTTGGTTGTAGTTCTCTGAGCTGCGTTTTTGCTGTGGAATGCTTTCGTTTGTGCAGCGGTTGTGTCGTGGTGTTTAATATGGCCGTTTACGGGTGAGCTGGTGAAATACATTATGTAATAATTATATGTGTGTAAAGTAACCAACTTATCGGGCCCGACTACTTTCTTTAACAGCAAACAGCGTTTCTGGTAACGATTGTTGGCTTTGGCACCTCTAGCAACTGCATTAACGCATTTTATGCATGCGCACATTTCTGGATTGTTCCGGGACTAGTTGTTTGTTTACCAAATTTTCAAACACGACAGAGATGGACATTTCATTTGATTTGCACTGGCACAGGAATGGAGCAAGTATGGGGAAACCCGATTGCGGTGTTGTTGAAACCTCGAATATGAGTAAGAAGACTACGACCTCACTTTCGTTAATTCATTGACTGTTAGCCCACGTTATCTGCATAGACAACAGTACCTCGCTGTTATATTCTTGAGGTAGATGAAAATTACTCCGTGTTATTTCCGTGATTTATATGCCATTTTAATTTGGCTATGTACATTTTAGTTCACTGGTATCATTTAATGAGTTAGATACCAGTTTTTCTGTGTTCTTTAACTACCACTCTTCATATTCCGTACCCTCTTCTCGATTCAAACGTGATTTCTTTGTGAATTTCTTCTGTCAAACTGTGGTATAGGTAATTCTGTGAGAGACATCTTCAGATTATTATCATTACATATTTGTTTCTAGACGAGGTTTGCTCACGCATTTACCCCATTTCAGGCATGGGAGTATAACGGTTACATCTCCCAGCTATAACCTGAGTCCCTGAGGCAACACTGTGAGCTATTGATTTCATAATAACTGTTTTACCCCCTGTTGTGCTAACAGATGTTTTGTGCTGTTAAAAGCATCAGCATGGTGGGTGGTCACGTTAGTTCGCATGTGCGAATGCCGATTAATTTTTTATTTTATTTATTAATTGCTTGCGTAAACAGTGAGCTGCAATTCTGGTGGGAGAATGTTAGTCTTGGCACATCTGACGGGGTCCTTATACAGCTACTTTGTGGCAAGCTTTAAGATTTTGCTGAGACTGATTTTTTTTTTAAAGAAGTTTTTAAAATGATACATTGCAGACACTTAGTGTGATTTCCACCTGCTCAGCGGGCCCATGTGTTAAGACGGCATGTACATAGAATTAGCAAGAAAGCATCTAAAAAATCACGTGGCATATGGTTCGGTGGCAGCTGTCTAACACTACTGTGGCGGGGGAGTCAAAATGCTGCCTGGCTCCACAAGATTCAGGCCCTTATGTTGCGAAGATATAAGTTGTTTGCGTATCCTTTAAAGGACGTAGCAGAACCAGCCCCAGCATTTATTGGCTTTTGTGGTTTTTCTAGGCAAATTTCTACGTTCAGTAGTTTGTCAATTCTTTGTAAACGTTCAGCTTTCGGTACCACTGTCGAAACCAGCGCAAGAAAATCGTCTGCAGCAGGGATCGAACCGGGTTTTCTGGCCTTACGAAGCGCGTTTGCTACGCCTAAGCCACAGACGCTGACCCAAATTGGTCCAGTTTGAAAGAGAATGGTAAGCTTGAGAAGCTTCATGGAGCCCAAAGGTTTCTAACGCACTTCATGGCACAGCAATAAGCCTGATAAGAAGGGGTTTACCGAAAAGAACAGTTATACGGCCACACATTTCAGTAATCGTGTTTTTAAAATTCGTTAATAATGAAACGCAGTACTGAAAGTTCTAGTAGTTCATTTACAAAATGATAGAAATTCAGCTGTAATTATGTGAACTACTAGAACTGAAACACGGATCTTACATTTTTTTTTTAAAGTCCACTATTTCGGGTGATTTATCTTTTTGCATTGTATATTATTGTACTAATACCCTGTAACTAAGATATAAAATGTATGCCACACTGTTTAACCATGTTCTGGTTTCTTTATTTCTAGGTTGCTCATTTTTACCTGTTACAATTATTGTTATTAATGCATTTAGAACAAAATGTTCCATTTGATCAATACTGGTCTAATTATTATTACACATTTCTTATTAACAATGTCTAGTTTATTCAAGAGATATTTTTTGGCTTTAATGGAAGACAATTTGCTGCAGTGAATAATTTAGTAATATATTTATATATTCTTCTACACATAATATGTGCACTTCTTAAGTATTGTTCAAAATGTGTTCTTTGTTTTTTTTTTCTTTTTATACGTCTTTACACGTTTTTATAACTATAATATTATTATTAAGAAGATAGGCGTAATATTATTCTATGTACTATTTTACTATATATATATATATATATATATATATATATATATATATATATATATATATATATATATTTATATATATATATATATATGTGTGTGTGTGTGTGTGTGTGTGTGTGTGTGTGCGCGTGTGTGTGTGTAAATTCTATGCAAGCAATAGAGTCTGCTATTCGTTATGCCTGCATCTGTGCCAAACCCTCTCCCCTATTCACGGAAAAACCTAAGGCCCATTCACCTCAAGCCAAACTAGTCAGTCAACTATGATTAGTCTTTACGACTTGCTGACTTCATGAACTACACATGTTTTGTGTGGCCTCAATCTCTAATTCTTCTCTCCATGTCTGTGTGTGTGAGTGTGTGCGCAAGTGCGTTGAGTAGGTGGGTATTAGGCGAACCTTTATAGGTAAAAAAAAAAACACAGGGGGTGGGGCGGTGGTGGGAAGCTTGAGTAGGTGGGTCTTTTTGCTTCTTCATTTACTTATTGGTTTTTAGCGTTAAAAGGCTGTGAACCCCGACAGAAAGTTCTGGTGATTGGTCCACTACTGCACTCTGGTCTTGATCCAGAACTTGAGGTATGCGTGCACATCCTTTCAACAGATCTGGCTTAATAGTATGCGGACTGTTGATTCCTCGCCTCTCAATCAGATACACTCGAACCTTAAAGGCTACACACTTAGTCCTCTTTGACGACATTCGTGTTATGAGCTAATGAGTCTATTCTACCTTCCTCTTCCCCCTAATGAGATCCTCGGACGCATACGAAGTGTGGCATGTCTGCATGTCTCGAATATTGTAGTGGATGGATATGGGGGGGGGGGGGTGGTGGGGGGGCCGTGGGGGGGGGGGGTGTGTGGATGGGGAGAAGGAACTATTATCAAGTATCTCAATTGATGTTATACTAACAACGTCTGATCACCTCTAGATTCGTTGTGATTTGTTTAATTCTATCAGACATGCAGGCTAGTAATTCTATGGTAACATTTTCTCATTTCTGTAATAAGACTCGTCATAACCACATATTGATGTTATACTGTTAGTAGAACAGGTACCGTGACACATTTTCAGGAAATTTGCAGGCACCTATTTTGCTTTCTGTTTCATTCATAGATCTCTCCGTGTCTGTTCAAGAGCCCAAATCATGTAGCAAGAGGCGAGTAATTAGCAATATTTAATTTTAAGTAGAGTACATCAGCCTTGAGAGACTGAGAAAGACCAGTCTACACACAGATCTGTGACGCATAAATGTATACTAAAACTGTCCATAGAAATTTTCAGGCGGTGAACGCTACGTTATACAGCTTTAACACCAAACTACGAATCTTCAGTTCTAATATTATTTCACTTCTAATGCATGCCAGCGAAAGTTGGAGAACCACAAAAGAATAGAGCGAAAGTTGGAGAACCACCAAAGAATGAAGAGAAAGTTGGAGGACCACCAGAGAATAGAGCAAAAGTTGGAGAACCACCAGAGAATAGAGCAAAAGTTGGAGAACCACCAGAGAATAGAGCAAACGTTGGAGAACCACCAGAGAATAGAGCAAAAGTTGGAGAACCACCAGAGAATAGAGCAAAAGTTGGAGAACCACTAAAGAATAGAGCAAAAGTTGGAGAACCACTAAAGAATGGAGCAAAAGTTGGAGAACCACTAAAGAATAGAGCAAAAGTTGGAGAACCACCAGAGAATAGAGCAAAAGTTTGAGAACCACCAGAGAATAGAGCAAAAGTTGGAGAACCACTAAAGAATAGAGCAAAAGTTTGAGAACCACTAAAAAATAGAGCAAAAGTTGGAGAACCACTAGAGAATAGAGCAAAAGTTGGAGAACCACTAAAAAATAGAGCAAAAGTTGGAGAATTACTAAAGAATAGAGCAAAAGTTGGAGAACCACTAAAGAATAGAGCAAAAGTTGGAGAACCACTAAAGAATGGAGCGAAAGTTGGAGAACCACTAAAGAATAAAGCAAAAGTTTGAGAACCACCAGAAAATAGAGCACAAGTTGGAGAACCACCAGAGAATAGAGCAAAAGTTGGAGAACCACTAAAAAATAGAGCAAAAGTTGGAAAACCACTAAAGAATGGAGCGAAAGTTGGAGAAACACTAAAGAATGGAGCGAAAGTTAGAGAAGCACAAAAGAATGGAGAGAAAGTTAAAAAATAAATGCATGAAAAATATCATGAACATGCAATGTGATGAATTAAAAGTGTGAGGAGATCAGAGAAATGACTGGACAAATACCTATATCGACTGCAATAAGGGGAAATAGAAAAGGTTGAGATATATTGGGTAGATTATAAGACCAAGTGAGCAAAGAATTACAAAACAAGCACTGAAAAAGAAGACAAATATCTGAGAAAAAGATAAACATTAAGAAGAAAATTATTACGAGAGACTAAAAATCCTGAACTGAACTCCATGTTAGAAATCGAGAGATTTGCATGCAAAAGAGCGGAGTGGAGGAATCGAATGCGGGCCAAATGTGACGTCTAACGGCACAAAAACGATTATAATGCACGTTAAAAAGAAGAAGACACGTTATGATGATGATGTATGGAAAATAAACTTGTGTATTTATGAGATATCGGTAGCATATAAATTATGCAACCTAACACCACTAACCTTTCATTGTCAAAGAAAATGCGTAACACGCCGTACAAGGTTGTGTAGCAAAATGGAAAACCTGAAACATTAACAGAAAAAAAAATGTTATTACAATCTCATCGTCTTCTTCGCTAGTCTTGGTTTTTCGCCAACTTCTGGACTTTAGTCTTATGTTAGGTCACTGCAAATCGGGCATTAACAATCATGCTCAGTTCTCCAATGCAGTAGCCACTCTAACGTACTTATACTGATTGCTCTCGTTATAGTGTCTTCTGTATCGTCTTTGGCGGCTGCAGAGACATGCTTCAAAACTCTATATTCCCATGTTACGGAACAGTGTTCGTTTCAGAAATTCGTCATTACTTACTAACGTAGTACGTACATCGTTCATGATATCTGCTCTATAAAAGAAATATTACATGGACACCAATGCGTGTAAGAAGATGTATGATCTTCTCACACGCATTGGTGTCCAGATAATATTTCCTTGGTCAGAGACTAAAAAAAAAAAAAAATTAACACTAAACAGGTGGGTTAGCAGCCTAGCCACTGAGCTTCAGTTCCAGGCATGTCGTGGCATGATCATTAACTATGAGAGATTAGTTGGCTCTGCACCACTTGGTGGAATATTGATACATGGTAAGGCAACCGTGTTTAAGGCCTGATGGTAGCAAGCGTACAATCTGCAACAAGCAAACTGGTAATCACAGTCTGGTAAGAGTGATGCAGCGAGAAGTTACGAGGGTATCTAGTCGATACTCGACTCTCAGAGAAAAGGAAAAATGGACACATAATCAGACTGCTACTGTCACGGTATTTGAACTCTGCGCTGGCTGCTGAGAATGGGGGTGGAGCACTCATGGCAATGCCCCGAGTGCTGTGATGTCAGTTCTTGAATCCAATAAAATAAAATCATTCAAAATGTAGTCTTATAATCACTACAAATATGCATTAGTAAAACCACCAAAATATGTTATATAATAAATACAGTTATGCAGCGATTAGCCACCATCGTCATGTTTCTATCATTGCTGTTGCCTTTTGCAAGTTCTATAGTTTGAAAGTTATCTGGCGGACAAGTCTTGTTATTATGATTGACCCGGCATGGACAGGAATGATGAAATTATTGCATATCCCAAAAAGATCAAGACAGGCAGGACTCAGCATCCTTGACTAAGTTGGTTGACATGGTGGTGCATCCTAGAGCAGTCAGACATGAACATTTCCCCAAGGTCACAAGACTTCTCATTTGTATTGAGGAGCTGATCAGAGCACAGTGGATCTGTCCGGAGTGCTGTAATGACAGTCTTCACCAATCACAAACACTAGCCAGCGACTAAAATTCGCATTTCCAGTCGCCACGCAATATGCAGGCAGCACTGTTTATTGCAATTCTTATAGAGGAATCACATCATCACATGCTTTGTTATCTGACGTAGGCGCTCCTGCTTTGGCTTATTTAGGGCATTGAGATACTGGATCAATTTTAAAAATGAAATTTCTCCTTGTCATCGTTTAAGACAACCAGGCATATTTTTTTCATGACTTGGACATCTTTTTATTTTATATAGCTCCGCATGTCCATACTTCTCCTAGTATGGATTTCTGTGTTCATTTTCACCTTGGCTGTTTATAGGCTCTAAAGTCTTGTTTCTTAAGGTTTCAAATCACAGGTTTGATTAAAATGAGTACTCCACTGACTGAGAGTTTGGTCGCTACGTTCGGTTCTAGATATGCGTGTCCTTTTCAGTCCCTTCTTTTAGCTTATCATTCATAGTTTGTGTTGTATTTAATAAACGTGTTCGTTGTCTATCTGCATTCTTCTAGCATCAATGTTTCATATCATTACGTTGTTCGCAAATAATTCATTGCTCGCTTGATATCTTCATTATAGTGGCGTAACTATAACCGCTCTCACCCTGATAGATAGTATAGTTAACCTTTCTACAAATATGATTGTATCATCAGGTCTACACTGTCTAATATAGTTACCAGGAAATGTCCTGGAAGTAAAGGTAGCCTTCCTGATGTCGCCTACGACATCAAACGAGTGTCGACTGATCTATAAAAGTAAGAGCCTGGCATCATTCGTCCATGCGTAACTTGCATAAAAAGATCCTTTACTTAAATTACAAACTGAACTCATTGTTTATGATAACCGGATATCCTAACCCACTCACAACGCCAATCCTCATCACATGAAAACATCAGTATCAGCGTTTATACAAAGAGAAGTAAATAAATGAGTTTAAGTTTACATACGTTACAGATGTGATGGTGACAGCTGTACTTACCCCATCCAATGAGATAGAGGAAAAATAGTGATTTCGGTGGCCTGAATGCGTTGCTGATGAGGCGATGAAGATAAAATCCTTCACAAAACATCCACACGTAGGTGGCACTGCGCGAATACAACCGGATGAAGGCTAGTACCTTACAGCCACTCTACAAATAATAAAAGCAGCTAGTTATAGATATTATATATATATATTTATTATAAAATATAGTGGTGACAATGATAAAATAGGGTGCTTAGGGTTGAAAGAAATAAAACTTACAGTATCAATTCTTACTAATACTATGTTCTATTCGGACACCCCTCAGATGTCTTGTTTACAGTAAATGTTCGACCGCGGGACTTTTTATTTTCACTTTTGAACATTCCATTAACCCCTTTAATATCACACAATAACTCGTGGTTCTAAGATGGGTTCCTTGGAGTAATCAGTGTTTGGGTCTGAACAGTTAAAATAATAGCATCACGGAAAAGAACGATTTAAAGTAAGAACTGGAGCAGAATTGATTAGCATAAGAACAGGATTCCTCACAGGGAGGTCAGAAACGTAAATTATGTCTGCTGAAACCAGTAAACGCCTGGTGCGGTGTCTGCCGTGTGCACTGGCCTAGAATCAGTCAGTAGTTATGTGGTAAGGATATCTGTTACATAAATCGTGAAAGCACCTTTCTAATTCTTAGAAAGAATTGCAGTGCTTGTCTCTCCTGGGTGTTCATTGTGTCACTCGACATGCCCGTTTGCACGTAGTCCTGAATATGGTGTATTTAATAGCCACAGTTTTATGTCGTGTAAGTGTGCCAGCGACTGCCATCTCTCCTGAATTGCCTCTCAAGACACACTTGTACATATTTACTCCTAACTGCTCTTAGCAAGGGTGACGAAGGGCACGAAACGACGACAATGTGTTAAAATGTAATTTGGAATAATGGAAACAGAAGAATAAATTGCCTAACGTAAGATCCCTTTTCACGCCTTTCAGGCGTATCGGGCATATGGGAAAGAGCGCCCACATTTTTACAGACCTACAGGCACTAGGTGGGTAATGTGGTCAGCATTACGCCGTCCGAATTGCCTAATGTACTGCTTGTAATATTTAGTTGGCTATAGACAATTTATGAGAGTCGCCGTGGCCTTGGCGACTAGACCCCCCGCCTGTATGTGGGAAGGTCGTGAGTTCGCGTCCTGATGTAGGACTTTTTTTTTCAAAAATAACCTTGACACCAAGCCTTAAGTGGGTACCGTATGCAGTCCTGGGAAGTAAAAGTGGACGGCATGGTGCCTACCACATCACCCACCAAGTGAAGATTGGCCTATAAAAATTCAGGTCTATCCCTATATTTCCTAAACGCCTAAAGGGGTGGAAAATGGACATTAGCTTTTATATATATATATATATATATATATATATATATATATATATATATATATATATATATATATATATATATATATATATAAATATATTTAAACAATAAATTTGACAGAATCAAAACGCAATGTATTGTTTGTTTCAGTATATTTCAAGTTCTTTATGGGAAAATGCTGTTTAATTTTGTTGATGACACATACAAGATGCACTCTGTCTGCTAACCCGTTCATTAAAGAAAAGCTGTGGCCCGACATTTATTACATGCTTCTTCGTGTGTTTCTGGTTTTCCCGAACATTGAGTGGCAGTCAATGCTGACAGGTGCATAATTTTTACCTCAACGACGGCATGCAGCCAATACAGTGCTCAGCATTTCGTGTGTTAAATGAAGATTATTTTTTTCGGTATACAATCAAGAGCTCCACTCGTTCATAGCCTGGTATCCACCAGCGTCAGAATGTGCGGTCTTATGTATAGAGTACCTACAGAAGCGCGCGCAAGCACGAGCGAGCGCGCACGCAGGCACGCACACACATATGAATGCACGCACGCACACACACACACACACACACACATGCGATCGCCTGCTCACTTACTGACATTTCACGCAACATACAAGGGCATATAATATTGATACGCATTTGTTTTTACACGTCTTAGATTGTTTTTATGTATTAAAACTGTATATTGTGTGGGAGCCGCAGTGGGGCAGCGGTTACATCGAAGATTGTGGGCTCAGGTCCTGATGGAGCCCTACATTTACTATTCTTAAATGGGCAACGTCACTTGAAGTAAAGGCGGCCGGTATGATATTGACCACATGAACCACTAATTGCTGATTGGTAAACAAAGATAGGTCTAGCCCTATATGCCCAGTGTGCCTAAAGGCGTGAAAAAAGGGTCCTTTTTATATTGGGTAATTAACTGTTTTGTTGTCAGTGAATCTTAGAAGTCCTCTAAACAATAAAGATATATCCATGGCTTTGTTTATAACATAACATAACCCTTGACCCGTCAGGGTCTTGAAGGTTGAGTTGAGTCAAGAATTGACATCACAGCACTCGGTGCTTCCCATGCGTGCTTCTTCCTCATCTGCGGCAGCCAGCGCAGAGTTACAATACTAATGGTACCGGTCACAATCCGGTTATATGTCCGTCCTGCCATTCCTCTGAGTGTAGTGAGCTGGCCTCTGGTTACACCCAGGTGTCTCATTTTCTCCACGCCATATTAATCTTCTTTCGCTTCTGACTCTGTTGCTTGTTTCCAAAGGGACCTGATCACATCTGTATTGTCATGTATCAATTCATCATTCAGGCACTAACTAATCTGTCTGCCTGTTCATTCCTCATAACGCGGGCGTAGCCAGCAGAAAAGATCCAAAATATGCTCACTAGCAGTGATCTTCCCAGTGAAGCTTACCACTCTGCTCGAAGCATCCCGGTCTTCACCTTTCACCTTTCTCAGCGTGTATCCAGAGTCTGTAACACTTACGATATGTGTATGCATCTTGTTGTTCTGTAACCACCGGAAAGCTATAGTTACCGCCTTGAACTCCATTCTTGTGTAATTTTTGTGGTATCGTATAGTAGGCTGACCTGCACTAAAGATTTTCGTTTGGCTTTCGTTGCGAATCCCAAGGCGCTTCTCTTCCCTCTCAACACAGAATCATCCGTATAGATAATGAGATCATCTAGACAAAAATTGACATGAATCAGCTATTGGAATTCTACCCCGGTTGCACCCATTGGTCACACTCTGCACTCCCGTTCCAGTGTGATCATAACGCTACACAGGTCAGACTTCTCCTGTGGGATTCTGACCCACTCCTCTCCTCGTGCGATGTTCTCCAGTATGCATGCTTGTCTTATTGTGTCCGATGCACGATGTTCCCTTTTTCAGCCTCTGACCCTTACCTGCAGCCTAAGCTTCATACAGAGGGTGTGATTTCTCTGCAGCTACTCTGTGGTATGACTTAGCCAGCCTGCAGCACATTTAAAAGGTTGTTGCGTATCCTCTAGAGGACGTTGCAGAACCAACCCTAACAGCCCCTGGCTGTTGTGTGGTTTCTCTAGGCAAATTTACGTCCAGTAGTTTGCCATTCCTGCTGGACGGTCGGCTTTTTTGATACCACTGTCGAAACCAACGCAAGACGCATTGCCCGCAGCTGGGATCGAACCTGGCATCCCGGCATTACGAAGCGAAGTGTTCGCATCGACTTAGCCACAGAGCCGACGCAGCACATTAAGCCGATCTGAATACTCGGCAATGCAAGGATGTATCGCATGCAAACAGAGAGGTGTCTCATGTACATCCCAGGATCACCCACATAGCGTCATTCTGTATGCGCTCTAGTTTCACTAGCTGCGTGAGTAACCTCAGTCAATTATCAGTCATCGAGATGATTAAGTGCTGGTGTATGGGGGTGTTTCGAAAAATGCACTAGCACAGAAAACCCGCCATGTTTCTAAGTCTTCTGCTTGATGAATAAGTGAATGATAACTTAGTCCTATTCTTTTTCGATGTTCCAGTTTTTCTTTGCCCTGCTCTTCTCTGACAACCACCTAATGTTCTTTGAAGTACAGTCTTTGCAATCGAATGATGTCTTAAAACGTGACCACACCTAGCTAGCTTGTAACGTACCGAGAATTTTAACCCAGGTTTCCCGCTTTAGAGAGCCTGGCGTTCTAACTGTTCAGCAAGCCGCTCCTATATTTGTGTTAACGATGTTGAAATCTCTGCTTCCTCAAGCGGTAGACCTTGGTTAAAATTCTCGGTACGGTCTAGTTTTGTGTTCTTCTTTCGGAAACAAATACAGTCCTGACCTGCACAGTACGTGCTGATAGTCTACTAACGCGGCACTCGATCCTTTAGCTTAAACTCAAAGTGCCTCCCTCCCCCTTTTTCACACCTGCCTGCACCATAAAAGTGGTAAAATACAGGCCGTAATGGCATATTTTGTTTACTGTAATAGAACCGTTAAATACATTCGTCAGATGTTCAGAACTGTTTATCTCCTTAAGGTTGCATGGATTGCAGAAAAGCCACGTAATGATTCTTTTCTGTGTCTTGAAGTATAGTGCGTATATTGTGCTAGCCCTATATAGTTAGATAGGGAGTGGCATCATCAATATTTTGTAGGCCGCATTTGTTTCCCAGAACATTGCAAGACTGGACCCACTGCGATGAACATATAAGTGACTACTGTCAAGATGGTAGGTATAAATGAACTCACTGAAGAGAAAACAATGACCGGAATACTGATCAAAAAGTGGGGATGGGGGAGGAAAAAGGGGGGGGGGGTTGGGGTGGCATTCACATGATTTGGAAAATTTGGGCCTTTATCAGCGAGCAGCACAATACCAAGAAAAATAATCCAGACACCAGCCCCTATACGGGCGATTTACGTAAATAACTTTCCTTTGTGTTCAGTGAATTCGTAAATCTGATGCACCAATTTTATGCTAGATTAGTCTGGGAGACAAGGTGAAAAATATCAGCCATGTCTCTGTGGGAATTCGAGGATAAGACCACAGAAACCGGCATGCAACTATGCTAGCCAATACCAGACCTCGACGGAGATAGCTGATTTTATAGCTCATAATTATTTATTGCACTCGGAAAGTCCAAAATACTTGCAATCTAGACATAAAATGCTTGTTGCAAGCCTTCTAATCCCATAGATAAATCTCCTGACTGCAGTCCGTGCAAAACCATCGTATGTATGCATGCATGCATGTCTGTCTGTCTGTCTGTCTGTCTGTCTGTCTGTCTGTCTGTCTGTCTGTCTGTCTGTCTGTCTGTCTGTCTGTCTGTCCGTGTGTGTGTGTGTATGTATGTATATATGTGTGTGTGTGTGTGTGTGTATGTATGTATGTATGTATGTATGTATGTATGTATGTATGTATGTATGTATGTATGTATGTATGTATGTATGTATGTATGTATGTATGTATGTATGTATGTATGTATGTATGTATGTATGTATGTATGTATGTATGTATGTATGTATGTATGTATGTATGTATGTATGTATGTATGTATGTATGTATGTATGTATGTATGTATGTATGTATGTATGTATGTATGTATGTATGTATGTATGTATGAGTGTGTGTGTGTGTGTTTGTGTGTCTGTATGTATGTATGTATGTATGTATGTGTGTGCGTGTGTATGTATGTATGTATGTATGTATGTATGTATGTATGTATGTATGTATGTATGTATGTATGTATGTATGTATGTATGTATGTATGTATGTATGTATGTATGTATGTATGTATGTATGTATGTATGTATGTATGTATGTATGTATGTATGTATGTATGTATGTATGTATGTATGTATGTATGTATGTATGTATGTATGTATGTATGTATGTATGTATGTATGTATGTATGTATGTATGTATGTATGTATGTATGTATGTATGTATGTATGTATGTATGTATGTATGTATGTATGTATGTTTGTATGTATATTTGTAATGTATGTATGTGTGTATGTATGGTTGGTTGGTTGGTTGGTAATTGTACCCCTCCAACACATTACACAAGCGATAAGCACCTGGTGTCACAAACTGCCACCATGCGGATGAGGATCACCCGTGGAGAGGTCCCAGAGACCCCTTTCAACCGTTAGGCCATTATCTATGGCTGGGCTACATCTATGCCTCGGCTATATTCAGGGCCTCCGACAAAAGCCAGGGTGTGGCGTCAAAATAACAAACAATTGCATCCCACGAGGAGACGAATTATAATTTGCATTGGTTTGGAATATAGAGAGACAATGGCAAACAATAGAATGTAACTTTTGCCTATAAAAAGAACAACAGCCAAAAAAATGCTGGGTTTGTTTCTATGAAGTCCCGTAAAAAGGATACGCAACTAACTTTTAACCCTACTTGTTGGAAGTTACATTATTGTTTGATATAATTGCCCCAATCAGTCGCAGTAGCACGTCACTGGGTGGTAACAGTACACTATACCGAAGAAATGTTTGGTCCGAACAACCCAACTGCCCTAGCTAGCTCTCCAGCCCCATGTGCTTTCAATGCCAATGCATTTTCAATGCCCTGTATCCATCTTTACAGTGGTCGACCCTTGCCTCGCCTTCCACAAACTGCACCCTCCATCAACGTCTTTTCCAAGCTACCAACTTTTTTCGGCTTCCATGTTGAGTTTCTAGGATATATAATGTGGTAGTCTCTCCTTGATTTCCACGTCAACATGACTGAGGATCTCTACCTTTAATTAGAATGCCTGGGTAAGTGAGTATCCTGCCCTGTGATGCTATTGTTAACTATGTAAGTGAGTACCCTGCCCTTTGATGCTATTGTTAACTATGTAAGTAAGTACCCTGCCCAGTGATGCTATTTTTAACAGCAGATGACATCACCGAGTAATCCGCTTATTCCAGCAGATACTCAGCCTCTGAGACTAAGTTAACAACAACGAATTATGTTTCTGTCCTCCACAACCAGGAGCTTTATGGGCAATAATGTTCCCAAATTACCATCTCATATCAGTATCCATGGTACATTCAGCGGTCATGAAGAATTCATAACACATACTTATAAAAGTATTACACAGAGACACAAGAACTTACTCCATTTTGAAAAAGAAGAGGGACGCTGGAGTCTGTGGAACCCAGTGTGACCAGTCTATTATGCGCAACAAGCACTTCCCATAAGATGGTCAAAATGTTGAAAAACATTAGGGCTACGAAGAAATTGATGTGGAGTCGAATTCGGTGCTGCTTTCTTAGTGGT